TTTTTTCTTCATGCTTGAAGATATTGATTTGATATTTGGTGTATTGTTTTATCATGACAAGTTACAGATCAAGTTTGAATTTTATTCCGGTTTGATGATTTTGTGCAGAGTAATGGTCCTTTGACTTAGAAAATTCACTAAAATAATCAGTTTTTTGCACTTTTTTTTGTCATTCTTGAAGATATTGATTTGAAAATTATTATGTAGTTTTATCATGACAAGTTACAAATCAAGTTCGAATTTTGTTCCGGTCTGATGATAATGTGCAGAGTTATGGTCCTTGGACTTAAATGATCAGTTTTCAACACTTTTTTTTGTCATGCTTGAAGATATGGACTTGATATTTGTTATATATAGTTTACACCATGACAAGTTATAGATCAAGTTAGAATTTTGTTCCAATACAATGAATTTTAAAAGGTACTAAGGGGACTGTATTGCCATGCAATACTCACAGAATGCTTGTTATTACTGTATTTTGTGTATAATTGCTGTGTCACCTGAATAAACCCTGGTGAGTTATCACATATTGTTCTTATATTATTATTATGTGCTCATATCCCAGGACATATCCAAGAAATAATTTCTTGCTGGTGAAACTTTACCATAATACTGATTTATTTTCAATATAAACATGTCTGCCTTCATATCTGAATTCCATATTACGTTTATCATGTTTATTATGGACTTCATCTGTGTGTGTCTGACATTAAAGTAGCCCTACTGAACTTTAAATAGTCAGCAACAACTCCTGTTCTTAAGCTGGAATAAGAAGAAGATTAGGTTGAGCTTATATCTTCCATCTCCTGAAATCCTTCATTACCCAATTTTGATCACCTTTCAGAATCCTGAACATGCTGAACCTGATCCTAAAGTCGAAGAGATTAGCTTGTTTTATCAACTGAAATAATGATTATCTTTCTGAACTTGATACAATACTGATACACCAACTTTTTTTCTCACCACAATACCTTTGAATATGGGTATACACACAACTCCTCCAAGCCTTCCATAATGTTTCATCATTTTTGTTGAGCCTTCGACTTTAGTCGAAAAAGCGAGACATAGCGATCCTACATTCAGTCGGCTTCGTTGTCGTCGGCGGCGTCCACAAATATTCATTCTGTGGTTAAAGTTTTTGAAATTTTAATAACTTTCTTAAACTATCCTGGATTTCTACCAAACTTGGACAGAAGCTTGTTTATGATCATAAGATAGTATCCAGAAGTAAATTTTGTAGAAATAAAATTCCATTTTTTCTGTATTTTACTTATAAATGGACTTAGTTTTTCTGCCGGGAAATATTACATTCACTCTGTGGTTAAAGTTTTTAAAATTTTAATAACTTTCTTAAACTATCCTGGGTTTGTACCAAACTTGGACAGAAGCTTGTTTATGATCATAAGATAGTATCCAGAAGTAAATTTTGTAAAAAAATAAATCCATTTTTTCCGTATTTTACTTTTAAATGGACTTAGATTTTCTGCCAGTAAACAACGCATTCACTCTGTGGTTAAAGTTTTTAAAATTTTAATAACTTTCTTATACTATTTTGGATTTGTACCAAACTTGGACAGAAGCTTGTTTATGATCAAAAGCTAGTATCTAGAAGGAAATTTTGTAAAAAAATAAATCCATTTTTTCCGTATTTTTCTTTTAAATGGACTTAGATTTTCTGCCAGGAAACAACACATTCACTCTGTGGTTAAAGTTTTTAAACATTTATTAGATTCATAAACTATCCTAACACAGTCCTGATAAGATTATATTTTCTACAATGTATTTGTATATTCTTTTATTTTTATTTGTATTTGATTTTTTGACTACATGTACATCTTGAACAGCCTTATATCTTATCATGTTAGTAATATTACATTGAACTAATTGACTGTAAATTAACTATGTGTAAATATCTGTTTTTGATTGTATTGTAATTTGTATGTGAGGGCCTCAGGGAAGATTAGTTTAATGTAACTAACTGAGTTTACCCTCTTTAAATAAAGAATTTATTATTATTTATTATTATTATTATTATATCCTGGATTTTTACCAAACTTGGACAGAAGCTTCTTACAATCAAAAGATAGTATCAAGAGGAATATTTTTATTGATTTACTTCCTCATTTTTGTTGAGCTTGCGATTAACAGAAAAAGTAGGCGAGACACTGGGTTCTGTGGAACCCTTACGAATTTTTAGTGAAATAAAAATAAAAATAATATTCTACATTTCAATACTTTTTTTGTCTGTTTTTTTTAGATTTATGATTTTAGATTGTCCCTTGTTATCTTCTCTCCTTTTTTCGGCTCTCATAGGGCTATGTGAGCTAGTGCCATCACTTGGCGTCCATCATCGTCATATTGAACTTTTCAATAAGACATAGGTGAGAGGGTGATAGAGCAGATTGTTACCCTGAGAAAATATTGTGAACTGAGGCAAGGGGTACAATCTGCTCTATCAGCCTCTCAGTGTTATTTAATTTATTATACTGAACGTTCTGTCATCATTATTGTTTTTATGCCCCCGCCGTAGTGGCATGGGCATTAAGTTTTACCCTTGTCCGTCTGTACGTACGTACGTACGTACGTCCCAAAATTAGTTTCCGTTCTCTAACTTGAGTTTGCCTCAACCAAATGTTATGAAACTTATACACAATGCTTATTACCAAAAACACAGATCAAGTTTGAATTTTGGTGGCGTCACTTTAACCGTTCTAGAGTTATGCCCCTTTATAAATGGAAAAATTGCAAAATTTTTAGTTTCCGTTCTCTAACTTAAGTTTGCCTCAACCAAATGTTATGAAATTTATACACAATGCTTATTACCACAAAACACAGATCAAGATTGAATTTTGGTGGCGACACTTTTACCATTCTTGAGTTATGTCCCTTTATAAACATAAAAATTGCTGAATTTTTCGTTTCCGTTCTCTTACTTTAGTTTGTCTCAAACAAATGTTATAAAACTTATACACAACCGTTCTTGAGTTATGTGTGTTTACAAATAGAAAAATTGCTGAATTTTTAGTTTCTGTTCTCTACTTAAGTAAGCCTTAACCAAATGTTATGAGACTTGCACACAATGCTTATTACCACAAAACTCAGATCAAGTTCAAATTTGGGTAGCGTCACTTTTACCGTCCTTCAGTTATGTCCCTTTATAACTATATGATATGGAAGCGGGGGCATCATCTGTGTCCACATGTGGACACTATCCACATTTATTTAAATTGTAAATTCAAAGTTATTAACTATAACATCATGTACATAACAACATTACAGTTATTAGGAAAACAACAAAAGTGAAGCAAAATTTTTTTTTTTATAAAGGTCAGGAGGCCGAAACGTAGGACTGGAGCATTGTCTTTAATATTATTGTTGTAAATCAATTCATTGTCCTTTAAAATATCGTTTTTTGATTTGTCTGCAGGAGAGGGTGACATAAAAAAAAAAAAACATTCTCCCGCTGAGCCATGGGATAGAGTAAAATGTTTCCCCTCGTATTAACCAATCAAATATGGCATTTTCTCATGAAGTACAATTATAATAGTAATTGGTCTATTGAATACTTGCAAGGTCTACATGTCTGTCAGACAGGTTTCACCTGACCTCAACCTCATTTCATTGATCAGTGATCAAGGTTAGAGTTACATGATTTAAGGTCTGTTTCTCAAATACATTAAGCAGTAGGTCCTTTATATGTGGTGTATGGAATAATTGTAAGGTTTACATGTCCGTCTGGCAGGTATCATCTGAGGCTATTAAAAACTGAATGTTGGTTTCCCCTAACACAAGAAAATTTTAAATTGCTGCTGGCCGGATACTCTTTATTTTATTTCAATTTTTGGACCAAAATCAAATGAGATACATGCAATTTTTCATAACCTGCTTTGACAGGAAATTCTTGAAAAAAACCTTGTTTGACATTATTTCTTGATATTAATTGTGTTATACGCTTTAATGTCTCAACTTTAAGAATGATAAATGAAACATTTTTAAAGACATTATCAGACAATTAAAGCATCATGATCATGATTATTGTCTTCAAAGAGAGTCTTGCTCTTTCTTTTTTTCTTCAGTAAAAAAAAAGAATTACGTGAAGGATAAAAACAGATCTGACAGGGTATGGGGAAAACAGCAATCTTTTTTGCATAGCCTGACCTTGACTTTGTTTTTATGGTTCAGGTCAATGTTAAGTTTTTGTGTTTGGTCTATTTCTCAGATACAATGTACTATAAGCAATAGGTCAACTATATTTTGTGTATAGAATGATTATACATATTTACAATGTTGGAATGTTTAAAATTGTATTTACAATCTTTCAGTACAACTTAGCATGTCAACATGGAAGTGACGATTTATATAAAATTTTAAAAACATTCAATAGTCATGTTACGCATACGTCTAACTTTAAGAGTGGAACCTTTTCCTGTACAAGTACTTATTTATACGTACTAACATAGTTTTCATATATAAATCATAAAGCCCTTTCCTGAATTTTTCTAATTTAGTGGAATTAGCTTTGTTTAAAGCTATCATGTTAATAGCTATCATCATGTTTTATATTAGCTACTTGTATAGATTTTTAAAAACTTATATCATTATTGCATATGTGTAAAGTTTGTTATTGAGGTTTTTCCAAGAAATTTTACATTTAAGAATATCTTTACTTTTCAATATTTCCAAGAAAACTTCCTTCATATTAAGATCTTAAATCAATAAAACTTTTAAAAGAAGAAATATTAATTTTTGAAAATGTTCAGTATATATATATAGTTAAACAACAGGTAATGTTTTCAAAAATATAATATGATATGAAATGTTCAATGCAATTGGCTCAGCTTACAATTGACAATATGGTTTAGAATTTAAATGGTTGCATATATTTTCTTATGTGTTAGCATAGTATACGTTTTTTGGCTGGTTTTAATGGGTTTTTATAAAAATCAATAATTATTTAGAAAAAAGGCTAAATTTGGAAAACAAAAGTAGGCCTGATTGCATCATTCATTTGTTTAGATATTTAGGAATGTATGATACTCCTCATTCTAAGGACAAATCTTAAGCTATCGAGGTGTTTTTTGTTGTATGCAAAAAGTGTTAAGTCTGTCTGTTAGGGGATCTTGGTACGTGAGCTATGCCGACCATAGAAGTTAAGAAGGATCTTCTTTTCAAGGCTTTGGGAAGGAGATATTGTAAGTTATTCAAAAATTATTATTATAACCATGTTAAATTATACTTCTAAGAATAATATTGTAATAGTACATTTACTCAAGAAAATGATAACAGACTGCTGCATTTGTTTGCACCTGTCCTAATGGAGCTACCATTTGATTTTTATTGGGGGGGGGGGGGGGGGGCTAGGATGAAATTTGAAGAAAAAAATGCAGGACAGGATTTTTGAGTTAAAAAAAAGGCAGGATGAGCAACTTGACAAAAATAAAAGGCAGGATGACAATTTACGTAAAAACCTATAATGGTTTACTTTTACAAATGTGACTTGGATGGAGAGTTGTCTCATTGGCACTCATACCACATCTTCTTATATCTATGTAAACTTACAAACTGTAAATTTTGTTTTTTTGTATTTTTAATAAAATTAATTAGTTTGGACATATTTTATTGTATAAAATGACAAACAGATCAGACACAAGTTTTACAACTTAGTAACTTGTAACGTCTTCTCCAAAATTGATCATTTTGGCATTAACTTGAGTTGTCAATAAGATGCAAACACAATTGCATATATATATCATGTATATATACAGGTTTAGTTTTAACTGCAATCATTGCTTTGAACAGGCAGTCCCAACTAAAATGAAAACTGAAAAATCTTGAAATGTGATGTAGCTGGGTTTTGTCAAGACCATGATAAATGCAAAATATTGTAGTTGATTTATACCAAATTTATGAAAAACAAACAGTTATCTTTCATTCAGTTACATTGAAAAGTCCATAGATAAATTAGTCGGTAATTATAACAACTTATTTTCCTTAGACAATGTTAAAGAAAGAACAAGCTAAGTCACTGTAAGGGTTTTTGATTAAAGAAAAACTTATATAAACAAGAGAATTGTAAACAATAAATGTGGAAATTTTGCAAATCTAACCACAAAACAAAAAACAAAATTTAGAAGGGAAGGGGGGTAAATGTGTTCCCTTAAGTTAAGTGTGTTACAATGTGTTAATCACTTCTTATAAGTTAATCTTTCACTCCTATCTTAAATTTTTCACTAGGATAATCTTTAGAATAGATTTTAACTGATTGAATACATTTAGTTACTGCATATAATTTATATAGATAACAGATATTAACAAATGAAAATGTGTCTACAGCAGTCAGCACTAACATTTTATTTTAAGAATATGACACTGGTAATACAAAATTGTATAGGATGTGGGCTGGGACTAATATCTATTGGTCCCAGATCCGGGTATATAATTTAATTAAGACCAACTGATCTATTGGAAGTCTTTTTGATAGTTAAAGTTTATTCAAATTTTGAATATTTGAATAAAATATGATATTTTATAATATTCTTATCAACAAAACATGTATAAAAAAAGTCTTCAGGCTTATTTCTGTTCTTATATTCACTTTTAAATCATTTGAAGTTTTTAAGGGTTACTGTTACAGTATTGCAAATTATTTGTTTATTGTCTTTGTACCTCATTTTATGTAATGACTTCTTAATAAATTAGAAAATGAAGAGCTATCTAACTATTAACTTTTTCAATACTTTCCTCAGTCATGTCCATAGCTAGTGCATAGAAGAAATAGCAAATGGCATTTTTTTAAATATAACATTTGTAGGTAGAGAAAGACACTGTTATTTGATTAGTTTAAAAAACCACTGAGTAAGGATTTTTGAATATTTATGATTCCTTGAAATAAAATTTCCAACAGATAAAAATAAGTTAGGTTCCTTGAATTTTTATGACTTGTTGGTAAAAATAGAACTGTACATAAAAATGAAAGTAGGACTTGTCACTCCTGTAAACCAATGTAAAGTGAAAGTAAAACTAATATACATTGTAACAACTATTTACAGAAAATTTAAAGTGGGTTGTTATTCAGTTGAGAAATTTATTCAAACAAAATCTTTAAATGATTTCAAAATTTGGAAATAGTTAAATGTTAATAAAGTTGAACTAAAAGTCAAAATACACTTACCTGGTGCACTTGAGGCAATGTCAACATAATATTAATTGAATTATAATATATTGCTATTTTTTTGTTGTGTGTGTTTCTTTGTTTTTTTTTTTTATTACACGTTACATATCTATTGTCAAGATTGCATTGCATAGGTTATTGTTAATAATGATATTGTTTATATGCTATATGTCCTCCTGGGGCCCTAATTTGGTGAATAAAAAAATTCTATTCTATTCTATTCTAATTGAACTAAGGTGTTATGAGTATTTTAAGTGAGACTTAGTGATGTCTTGATGTAAATGAAAATAACATTATAAATAGACAAGAAACGTTAAAATTATTTTACAGAATTTTATGTTCTAGTTTGTCATCCTTAACAACAGAGGATTAATCGATTGTTGGTTACTTAACATCCAGTGGCAAATATTTCATGCATGTTCAGGATTAGAACAAATTAACAATAAATTCAATATGTAGGTCCTGTTCTGGAATAAAGGTGGGGAAATTATGACTCCCACTGGTATATTGGATAAGCCAATAAATTGTGCCTTGCAACTGGCTGCCTACAAACCCCTCAAAGAGGTGTTGCAAAGCTAGGTTCTTAATGTGCAAGGAGTGTGGCACTCTCTTTACATGAGGCATTGGATTTTTTGTTACATTCCCATTCTCACCGGACGTGGCTGCACACTTGTACATCCTGCACAGCTAAACAGACGCTCCACTTTGGCAAGGGTTATAGATTTCAGAACAAGTTTGAATTGGAACTGCTTGATATCAACTCAAGTTATTTGGCGAGGTTATTCTTAATATTTGAAGTAAATAATGAGGGTTGATATCATACAAGTACTGTCTTTTGATGAGGTAGATATGCGGTTTTATTGACTTTTGAAAAACTGATATTCACTGAGTAAGACGGCCGAAGTGACTATCAGTTTTTCAAAGTCAATTAAACCAGATGTTTACCGAACAAAAGACAGTAATTGTTTTATTCCATTTTCCGAAAGAAAACAATGTATTTAATGACAATTATTAACCAAAACCAATTGTACATCAAACATTTTACCATTACGTTACATGTGCAAGCGTGTGACATTCAACTTCAGCGCGATGAATATCACTTTTCTCCAGGTGAATATGCTTTTTTATTCAAAATCCAATTCATAAAGAGAAACGTACTTAAATAATACCAATATGGAGTAAGAGTCATAATTACACCTTTTGTAAGAATCCTGGGTTTTAATTGGTTGATAGCCAGTGTATTTTTCACCAATTTACTTTTATCAAATGAATATCGTTCATTTTTAAACAGCGCCAGGGTATATGCAAAAAGGATATGCCTTTTTTACCCTCTCTGCCGTGGTATTTGCCAAAAAATACTCTATCCGACTGGATGCTTGTAATGTCGCGATCATCAATGCGTTTTATGTCACGATCATCAATGCGTTTTGTATGTTAACATTCGGTGTAATTAAACAGATGTAGCATGTTCTTGAGGGGTATTTGCGAAAAATACCAGTCATGAGAATGAATTTGCCTCGCCTTACGGCTCGCGAAATTTAACATTCTCTCGACTGTTATTTTTTGCAAATACCCCTCCTTAACATGATATATCTGTTCAATATCCTATGTGAAGATCTTGAATAACATGTTTTATTTAAACTTCAATACATATACATATACATAAAACCTATTAAAATAATACCAAATTGAATATGGAATAACAAGCATTATTCCATATTGATAGGAACTTCATTAGGTTTTTCTATATGAATAGGATTTTCAATAAATAAGCATATTCACCTGCGGAAAAGTATATTCTCCGCGCAAACTGTTGCGTGCTTTTACGTGTATAATTATATTAAAATCGTTTGATGTACGTTACAATTGGCTTTGCTAAATAATTATCATTACATACATTTCTCTCTGTACTCTCTCGGAATATGGAATAAAACAATTACTGTCTTTTGTTTCGGTAAATATGTGGTTTAATTGACTTTTGAAAAACTGATATTCACTTCGACCGTTGGCCTCAGTGAATATCAGTTTTTCAAAAGTCAATAAAACCACATATTTGCCTCATCAAAAGACAGTAATTGTATAATATCCAATAGACTATTTTCATATTCCCAACTTTTGACTGCGGATTTTATAATTGTTTGATAGGTTACCTTTTCTGTGGTAGGACATACTGGTACTCTGTCAGGTAGGAACAACCAAAAGAAGTAAAATCAAACATATAATCGGTGCAATTTTGGGGGAAAGTTTACTGTTTTCCGAAGATTCTGATGTGTATAGAAAACATACAACCGTTAATTTCCTTCTACATTTGTACCGATGGAATGCTTGATTTTACTTTTTTTGTTTGCTCTTACTTGACTGAATACCTTAGGATCACCTACCACAGAGAAGGTAACCTGTCAAAAAATTATGAACTCCGGAGTCAAAAGTTGGTAATATGAAAATGGTCTATTCTCTGACATGCGTTGAACGCTAAACCAACTCTCTTATGGTCAACATTCTCTCTGTGTATATAATAAAAGTTAGCAACTTGTTGATTTAGTCTTTTGCATGTACAAATGTACCAGTATGATGTCATATGTTTTGTTACAGTGTCAAAATTTGAAATCAGACATTTGAACATTTTTTATACCTTCAGAATGTAGGAAAATTCGACATAAGTAAAGTTTTCAGGTTAATAGTGTAGAACTTACATAATTTAGAAAGGATACAGGACTTTTTCTATATTGGAATTTTAGGGGCCAATTAAATAATAGCTCTTATCATAATCCTTTCTTTGACAGATATTTCAGTAGTTTGTCCTTCTTTGGACCAGTTTGACAATATTGGATTAACTTGACGAGTATGCAGGGTTTGAGATTTATACTTATATTATTCAGCATTTAAAAAGAGCTTGAGGAGTAAGAGTTTGAATTAGTTATTTTCAATTTCAGAATTTGAAGAATTTATGAGGCAAGGTTTGAGTTAGTTATTTTTGAATTGAAGAATTTGACGAGTTAGGGTTTGAGTTAGTTAATTTTGATTTTAGTCTAGAATTTGAAGATTTGAAGTGGTAGGGTTTGAATTTGTAATGTGTAATGTTTGTTTTTATTTTTCAGCATTTGAAGAAATTGATGAGTTAGGTTTTGACTTTGTTGTGTTTATTTTTCAGCATTTGAAGAATTTGATGAGTTAGGTTTTGAGTTCGGGTTAGAAGCAGAAGAACCGGTGAGTATACTTTTAAGAATGTTATTTCTGATGTTATTGAATAAATCCAAATTAAAATTACAAAAAAAATAACAAAATTAACATATATGATTATCAGAAGGTGGGAAAATGCAACACACAATTACAAATGACAGTTAAACGATTGACTAAATAAAATATTGATATAGTTCCTAAACTAACAGATAAGGATAAAAGTTCAGAAATCTGGCTGTGTATTTAGTCATTCTACAGAGTTGTAATCTGTAACATTTATTGTTCTTTAATTTTCATTCTGTGCAATATTGCGAGTCTTATTTGTAATTTAAGCATGTTGCTATGTTTTTGTGTTGTCTTTATATTATTGTTTAAGGTATAAAACCACTAATTCATAGCCCCATTGCTTTCTATGTTAAATTCTGCAATTTCAAGCATAAATGGCTACTTTGTCTTAAGTTCAAATAAAGTGGCAGTTATTTCATGTCAAAACTGTACCTTATGCTGACTTGTGCTGAAAAAATCAACATACCTTTAATTGCATATTAGAGCGTACTGGTTCCCGGAAGTTTGATAGTACAAAAACAGGAACTTCTGAACAACAGGCCAAATGAGCCCTCCTATTAAAATTTCATATACTTCTTTATTATTCAAATGAAACTTTCAACAAGGGTTCTACAGTGATCCCAAGTCCCAAAGCTTTCATTTGATACTAAAACTACCCAAATATTCCTACTATTGACAAAGATACAGCTATACGTAGGAACTATTTTGATTAAAATATGTACTACTTTCTTGTATGTTCTTTCCGACCGGGCCTGAATTAGTGGTTCTATACCTTTAACACCTTGATACAAGTGAGACATTATTCTGTTTCACAGGAAGAAGAAGAAATACTACAGAATCCTGATCTTGCTAATGTCTGGAAAATTGATATTCCTGCTAACAGGTAAAAATGGAAACTAAAAATCTTGCTTTCTTCATCATGAACATAAAAATATCTTTGCTCATAACTTGTGAATTAATACTAATCAATTTGATCTAGAATAAAAATTTACACATTATCATGATTATAGAACAAAATGGTAAAAAAAAATAATAAATTATTCCAAGTTTAAAGTTATTTTGTAGAAATATGGAAAGAAATCATTTGTATTGTCTTGCTGTACAGAACTGTATGGTGAAATCATTTGTATTATCTTGCTGTACAGAACTGTATGGTTAAATCATTTGTATTGTCTTGCTGTACAGAACTGTATGGTGAAATCATTTGTATTGTCTTGCTGTACAGAACTGTATGGTGAAATCATTTGTATTGTCTTGCTGTACAGAACTGTATGGTGAAATCATTTGTATTGTCTTGCTGTACAGAACTGTATGGTGAAATCATTTGTATTGTCTTGCTGTACAGAACTGTATGGTGAAATCATTTGTATTGTCTTGCTATACAGAACTGTATGGTTATCATCAGTAACATTGGTTTATTTTATAAAGTATGCTGTAAGATAAGAATTTCCATTTAGGAACAATAAATGTATAATGACGAAGAAGCAAGAAACTTCTAGTTCATCATTTAAATAATCATTACATTATTTTTCAGATATGATTTACTATGTATTGAAGGGCTGTCAAGAGCTTTGTTGGTTTTCCTTGAAAAGTAAGTTACACTTAAACTTTGAATTAAAAAAGAGAAAGTTCAAGATAAAATATCAATATACATAAGTAGATGTGGTATATTGACCAATGAGACCATTATCATATCCATTTTACTGGCTAGGTTTTTGGTAAATTTTGTTCTTATATCCTCATTAGAACAGTTGGTGGTTGACTGTCATCAGCCTTGTTGAATTAGATTTTACACCATGAGAACAGTTGGTGGTTGACTGTCATCAGCCTTGTTGAACTAGATTTTACACCATGAGAACAGTTGGTGGTTGACTGTCATCAGCCTTGTTGAATTAGATTTTACACCATGAGAACAGTTGGTGGTTGACTGTCATCAGCCTTGTTGAACTAGATTTTACACCATGAGAAAAGTTGGTGGTTGACTGTCATCAGCCTTGTTGAACTAGATTTTACACCATGAGAACAGTTGGTGGTTGACTGTCATCAGCCTTGTTGAACTAGATTTTACACCATGAGAACAGTTGGTGGTTGACTGTCATCAGCCTTGTTGAACTAGATTTTACACCATGAGAACAGTTGGTGGTTGACTGTCATTAGCCTTGTTGAACTAGATTTTACACCATGAGAACAGTTGGTGGTTGACTGTCATCAGCCTTGTTGAACTAGATTTTACACCATGAGAACAGTTGGTGGTTGACTGTCATCAGCCTTGTTGAACTAGATTTTACACCATGGGAACATATGGTGGTTGACTGTCATTAGCCTTGTTGAACTAGATTTTACAGCATGCCAATTCAAACATCCAACTTGTCATGCTTGTAAGACAGTCATTTTGATTCTGATTATTAAATGAAAAAATGCTAATTATGCCAAACAAATGAAGTAATTCAGAGTCCAAAAACAAAATTAACATAATTTGATGAATTTAAAAAGACACACAATATATCAAATAGGATGAATATAGGATAAACAAAAACTAAAAGGGTAAACAATCAAAACAGAAATTTCTTCAGTTCATATCTAATATCACTGAAAGTTTATTGCCATAGATTTGCCAATAGCAATGACTGTGTACAATTCTGTAGCACCTGTGTTCAACCTGTTGTCATAGATGGATATAGTAACAAAAGTTCTACTTCTTGAAATACTTTGTTTTGAGTTATAAAAATACCATACAATATCAAGATTACGTTCATTAACATTTGTATGTTTAAAGTCCCTAGACACTTCTTACAATATTCTTAGCAAAGTAATAGTAAGCTTTGAATGTGATTCATTCATATTCACAAATAAAAATCTTAATAGCTTAGTCTGAAACAGTTTTGTTAGGTGAAGAATTGAAGTATATATGCTGATGTTTGTTTGTGGTTTGTGTTTTTGTCATACTATATAAGCCAACAGAAACGACTGGTAAATAACATCATTGAGGAGCAATTGAAGAATTTTGGTGAAGAAGTGACTAACATATACTGTAAATTCAGAAATTATTGCGAGGTTTTTGTTAATGCGAATAATGCGACTGAGTGAGTATCGCAATAATAAGAACTTGCATTCTGATATCTGATCGATATATCTGAATGCAGTTTATCCTGAAATCGTAATAATTAATCTCGCATTTTTGACCGTTCTTCAAAAATCGCAATAATAAATGCACGCAATAATTTCTGAATTTACAGTAACAAAAATATAAAGTGAAAAGGATGCAACTTGCATCCTTATTATGAAGATAATAAAGAAGGGTTCAAATAGGGATCTTAAAATCAATTCACCAAAATATTCTTGACGGCTTTTATTTATTTTATAGGAAGCAGTGTCCAAGATATAAAACTGTCAAACCACAAAAATTACAGCAAATGAAAATTCTACCAGCCGTAAGTAATTCGACTCGCCATTATAATGTCTTCTTCTGCTGTTTTTTGGTAAATTTAAATGCTACATGACAAAAGGCAAATAAAATATTTGGTTGAATTATAAATACTACAGCACAGATAGCAAGCTTCCCTCTCATCTTCGACAGGATGTTTGATCCATGCTAAACTTACTGATTACAAAATCTACTGTATTTACATGCTACATAGCAGATTAACTTCATACATTTCTAGTTTTGCACCTCTTATTTTTCTGTTTGTTTTTTTGGGGTTCTCCATTGCAAAACATAAACTTTTAAACATGTTGTCATGGAAAATTTTGCTTATAGCTAACATTAGAATGGAACATATTTGTACTGTTTTAATTCAAACCATCTATAATTCTACAACTCGTATATGGAATGGCTATTTTGATATGAACAGATTGTTTACATGTATATATTTTTTTGTCAGACCCAGCAAGTCAGACCATATGGAGTTGCAGCTGTTCTTAGGAACATTAAGTTTACTCCAGACAGTTATAAAAGTTTCATTGAACTACAGGATAAGTTACATCATAATCTGTGTCGGTATGTAATCATTGTTTCAATATATTTATATTCCTTATTTACTGTCCATTTATCTCCCTTAATTAGTAACTGTCAATTTATCTCCCTTATCTACAGTTGTCTTTCTTGGCTACAGGATTTTGTGTGCAAACAAATAATTTTTAAAGTCAATTTATGAGTATCATGAATTTTTGGTGCTTACATAAGAAAATGAAGAAAAAATACTCTTCTTATGAAGACCACCATCATAAAAAGGAGATAACCTAAATTGTATCATTAAAATAAGACTTTGTGATGTGGTCAAAATTAAATATCACTGTGTAACATTCTACAGTCCAATAAATTAAACAAAACTAGACAATTACAGACAAATTCTGGAACTGAACCTTTACTAATGATGAAGTTTTGAATTTGATAAGATGAAAAAGCCTCAAATAATTATCTATTTATATTATTATTTAGGGTTAGAAATTGGTATTTTGGTCATTTTTTTTTAAGATTATAACAAATTTAACTGAAGCTCCTCAATCATAAGTACAAACTAGAGGCTCTAAAGAGCTTGTGTCGCTCACCTTGTTCTATATGCATATTCAACAAAGGACTCTCCAACATTGTAGACGAGAATAGAATTAATGACAAAAATCTCTGTTTTTTTATCTTATATTGCTCATCTTTGAAGTCTGTTTATTTTCTCTCTATCTTATTTAGCTTTTGCTCCAAACATAAAAGAGGGTAAAAAAAATCCTAATTTAAGGGCAATAACTCCTATAAAGAGTACCAGTTACTAATTATATCAGCAAAATTTGACTTGTTAGTAGGGGTTGTCTTGCTAGTCAATTTTGATTATTTAAGTTTCTATATATTTATTATAATTATTATCATACAAGACAAAACGCAAAAAAAATGTTCAAAATCGTCATTAAAGGGCAATAACTCCAATAATGAGTCGTCGGACAATTTCCGCCATTTGTCTTAATGGTAGATCTTGTCCTGCTGACCATTTTTGTATATTTAAGTTTCTTTTTATCTATTATAAGTTTTAAGATATAAGACAAAAATGCAAAACAAATTGTACAAATCGTCATCAAAGGTCAATAACTCAAAATAAGGAGCCAACTGACGATTTCAATCACAAGACTTATTTGTAGAACTTGTCTTTCTGATCATTTTTGCAATTTAAAGTGTCTCTCTATCTATTATAGTTTTCAAGATAATAGGCAAAAATCGAGAAAAAAAAAGAGGTAAAATTTGTCATTTAAGGGCAATAACTCCTACAGGAAATCATCTGACAGTTTTGATGTATATGGAGAATTGGTAGAGCTCAACATTCTGAACAATTTTACCCTTTTCAGATTTCCTCTATTTATAACGGATATCAGAATAATAGACAAAACTTGCATTTTACCCCATATGTTCTATTTTTAGCCACGTCTGCCATCTTTGTTAGCAGGCAGGGTCATCAGACACATTTTTTAAACTATACCCTTATGATGATTGTGACCAAGTTTGATTCTATTTGGGCCACTAGTTTCAGAGGAGATTTTTGTAAAAGATTACAAAAGTTTAAAAAAAATTGTTAAAAATTGACTATCAAGGGCAATAACTCCTTAAGAGGTCAATTTACAATTTTGGTCATGTTGGCTTATTTGTAGATCTTACTTTGCGTAACGTTATTGCTGTTTACAGTTTATCTATATCTATAATAATATTCAAGATAATTACCGAAAAACTGCAAAATTTCCTTAAAATTACCAATGCTGGGGCAACAACTAAACAACAGGTTGTCTGATTCATGTGAAAATATCAGGGTAGATAAAACTTAACCTGATGAACATTTTTACCCCATGTCAGATTTGCTCTAAATGCTTTAGTGTCAGAGATATAAGCCAAAAAAATGCTTTAGCTTCAGAGATATAAGCCAAAAAATGCATTTTACCCCTATGTTCTTTTTTAAGCCATGTCGGCCATCTTGGTCAGCAGGCTGGATCATCGGACAAATTTTTTAAACTAGATACCTCAATGATGATTGTGGCCATTAGTTTCAGAGGAGAAGATTTTTGTAAAAGATTACAAAAAGTTGTTAAAAATTGACTATAAAGGGAAATAACTCCTATTAAGGGGTCAATTGACCATTTTGGTCATGTTGACTTATTTGTAGATCTTACTTTGCTGAACATTATTCCTGTTTACAGCTTATCTCTATCTGTAATAGTATTGAAGATAATAACCAAAAACTGCAAAATTGACTTAAAATTACAATTCAGGGGCAGCAACCAAACAACGGGTTGTCTGATTCATCTGAAAATATCAGGGTAGATAAAACTAGTACTTAACCTGATGAACATTTTTACCAATTGTCAGATTTGCTCTAAATGCTTTGGTTTCAGAGATATAAGCCAAAATCTACATTTTACCCCTATGTGTGTGTTTTATTTTTAGCCATGGAGGCCATCTTGGTTGGCGGGCTGGGTCATCGGACACAATTTTTAAACTAGATACCCCAATGATGATTGTGACCAAGTTTGGTTAACTTTGGCCCAGTAGTTTCAGAGGAGAAGATTTTTGTAAATGTTAACGACGGATGACGACAGATGACGGTCGCCAAGTGATGAGAAAATGAGAAAAACAAATACATATTATTTTTTTTAAGTAGAAGAACAACTGTTTTTTATGTGTACTCTGTTTTCAGGAGAAGGACATTGGTTGCTATAGGAACCCATGACCTTGACACAATTCAAGGCCCGTTTATCTATGATGCCAAGCCACCAGCAAACATCAAATTCAAACCTCTGAGTCAAACAAAAGAATTCACTGCTCCAGAAATGATGGAAATGTATTCTGTAAGTCATTGTGTTTAAATTCATACAACTTATACAGGTTATGAACTTGGACATTCAAATTCAAGGGAGACAACTGTGACATGAGATAATGGATAACATTCTATGTTTCATAGTTATAGTAGGATTGAGCTATAAAAGCATATCAGTCTGGAATGGACAGGCTATTACAAACTATATTTCATGCTTCGTTGAATACCAGTATAGTAAATCTAATTGCAGAGTTCTGTTCTTAGATACTTAGAGACTTACATTGTGATGTTTTATTATTGTATTGTACTTAACTAGCATTATTCAAAACACAGATTTTCCCCCTTTAACCAAAGATGTATTACAGTATGCTATAGTTCTTCTGTCTGTTCATCCAGTGTAAACACATCAGTCTTGAACTTGTATGCCTTAAGCAATTTACCTCAAACTTTACCATATTATTTAGATAAAAATTACTAGAGTCCATTGTCAAGAAAGAAACAACCTTTATGGACAATAGAACAGGGTTATACTATTTGTTTTTACATGTTTTACAGTTAGATAGTCACTTGAAGCCATACCTTCCAATCATCAGAGAAAAGCCAGTCTGCCCTGTTATTTACGTCAGGAACAATGTTGTTATATTATTTTGTTATTAACTGTTTTACAGTTAGATAGTCACTTGAAGCCATACCTTCCAATCATCAGGGACAAGCCAGTCTGCCCTGTTATTTACGTCAGGAACAATGTTGTTATATTATTTTGTTATTAACTGTTTTACAGTTAGATAGTCACTTGAAGCCATACCTTCCAATCATCAGGGACAAGCCAGTCTACCCTGTTATTTACATCAGGAACAATGTTGTTATATTATTTTGTTATTAACTGTTTTACAGTTAGATAGTCACTTGAAGCCATACCTTCCAATCATCAGGGACAAGCCAGTCTACCCTGTTATTTACATCAGGAACAATGTTGTTATATTATTTTGTTATTAACTGTTTTATAGTTAGATAGTCACTTGAAGCCATACCTTCCAATCATCAGAGAAAAGCCAGTCTACCCTGTTATTTACGTCAGGAACAATGTTGTTATATTATTTTGTTATTAACTGTTTTACAGTTAGATAGTCACTTGAAGCCATACCTTCCAATCATCAGAGAAAAGCCAGTCTACCCTGTTATTTACATCAGGAACAATGTTGTTATATTATTTTGTTATTAACTGTTTTACAGTTAGATAGTCACTTGAAGCCATACCTTCCAATCATCAGAGAAAAGCCAGTCTACCCTGTTATTTATGACAGGAACAATGTTGTTCTGTCCATGCCACCTATTATAAACGGTAAATATTACAGAAATATTTTCAGGAATGAAATAAATAAAAATATTCACACTGAAACATTTAATATCATGTTTGAGGTTAGGGCTGTTAAATTTAAATAAATGTTGTAGTGTAGAAAGAGAAGATTTAAGTTTGGGGATTCATTAATCGTATAGATATAAGAAAATGTGGTATGAGTGCCAATGAGACAACTCTCAATCCAAGTCACAATGTATAAAAATTTAACAATTGTAGGTCAAAGTACGGCCTTCAACACAGAGCTTTTGCTCACACTAAACCGCATGCATGGATTTATGTCCATTGTATGCATGGAAAATTACACAAAAGAAAGTATGTTGGTTGTGGTGGGATTTGGAGAGTCCCTTCCTACACCTCCCTCCCCCACTTATTTTAATGGAATAGCCCTGTTGTTGTTATTCTAGATACATACATGGTGATATGGGTTTAGTGAGGCAACCTGATTGTTAACCATAAGTGACAAGAAGAAAATGTTATCACCCATTTGGTTGATTCATTTATTTTGTGATAACAGGGTGCTGAGAAGATATTTCCATATCAAGGCAAAGTAATTTCTTATACATTCTTATACATTTTGTTGTTTTGGAAAAAATTGTTGCTTTGAAAACTTAACTCCCATCTACATACATTTTTTAGGTGACCACAGTAAGATTACACTGGACACCAGAAATGTCTTCATAGAATCTACAGCAACAGATTTAAACAAAGCTAAAATTGTCTTAGATACACTGGTGACAATGTTCAGTGAATATTGTGATCAACCATTCACGTGAGTAAATATGTACTATAGTTGAATTTAATCAAAGCTAAAAGCATCATAGAAATGGTTATGACAAATCTCAGTGATTAATCTTGTCTTGCCTACAGGAAGTCCAACAGGAAAGAATAATCGGCCGTTTTTGGCCGTGTCAACAATGTATAAGTTTAGGATTATGTCAGTTTAAGGAACATAACATGTGATAGGTCAATGATACATGGTAAGCAGTTATAAAAATATTAGAATTGGTACATCTCATTCCCATGTAGATTATTTGACCCTGTCCGTCAGTGGGGGTCTATTTGACTTTGAAATAGATATAAGAAGATGTTGTATGAGTGCCAATGAGACAACTCTCCATCCAAGTCACAATTTGTAAAAGAAAAACCATTATAGGTCAAAGTAGGGTCTTCAACACGGAGCCTTGGCTCACACCAAACAGCAAGCTATAAAGGGCCCCAAAAATGACTAGTGTAAAACCATTCAAACAGGAAAACCAACGGTCTAATCTATATAGAAAAACAAGAAACACTTATGAACCACATCAACAAACGACAACTACTGAACATCAGGTTGAAAGTTTGGTTTAGTTTATATGTTAAAAGTTAGTGATTATGTTAGTATAAGCAGAACAGCTAATGGTGAATCAATCATATCAAAGTAAAATCCTTTTATACCCAAGTTGAGAGCATGCTTCGAAATAAAATTTTTACTGTCTTGAGATCCAAAATGAAAACAAAACAGCTGTATCCTGAACTTTTGATTTTTACCTTCTGTCTTATAAGCCCATGTAATTTGGAATTCTGTTATGCAACTAGGCTAAACATTTTAACATAATTATGCCCCGCCTTAGCAGAGGGGGCATTAAGGTTTACCCTTGTTTGTCTGTATGTATTTACGTGCGTCCATCTTTATGTATGTACTTAACACCCAGAATTTGTTTTTGTTCTCTAACTTTAGTTTGCCTCAGCCAAATGTTATGAAACTTGTACACAATGCTTATTACCACAAAAGTCAGATCAGGTTGGAATTTGGTGTCTTCACTTTTACCGTTCCGAAGTTATGCCCCTTTATAACGTTATATGCAATTGGGGGCATCATCTGTGTCCCATGGACACATTCTCCATTTATTTTATGAAGCTTTATTAATTAAGCCATCTTCTTGGAGTACAAATTAAGGGAAGAGCACGATTTTTGCTCATTTTTCTGAACTGTAATTACCAAATTTTTATCAGAAAATTGTCAGACTTGAGAAGCATTTCCTCTATTACACATATATTTCTGGAGCCATTTGATTTTAAAATTTGATAAATAAAATGAATCAATGTGACCTAAATTTATGTTTCAGAGTAGAACCAGTAGAGGTTACACATTCTGATGGCTCAGTACACGTGTACCCAGTAAGTATATTCACAATAAAATAAAAATCTCTGTTTAGTCAGAATTATATTGATATAAAGAACTAGATTCCCTTTATGTTTGTGTCATCTTTTTTTGTTGATGAAATTGGATTTAGGTTTCTTTTATCTAATTTTCATTTCATGATTTCAAATTTCATTTTAGAAGAATCTTTAAACTTCTTTATTTCCAGAAGTTCAAATTCTAAGGATAAATTCTTATTTCAAAAGTATCAGAAAATAAAAGTGCTCTTAAGTTTTAAAGGTATCATATATGAAAAATATGTTTTCTAGGAATTGCCCTACAGATATGAAGAGGTTGATGTAGAAGATGTCAACAAAAAAGTAGGAATAAGGTTTGTATATATAGACTTTTGATGTTAATTTAAACCAGAGGCAGTCTAATTGAATGGCAACAAACGCCTCATGATTGAACAGACTATGATGATCTGTTTAGTTCTTTTCCCTAGGCAAGATCAATGATGTAGACTTATGACCTCATGCATTCCCTTTCTATTCAATTGATAGAAACTCATATCACTCGAGAAGCATGGGATAGATAATTCTAATACAGACAAATCATAGGGAAAATATAAGAAAAATAGGGATACCAAGTGTTATACTATTATAGGCTGTAGACATTGTTATTCATTGGTGATTTATATTAATTTTATTTTGGAAGGACAAAAAAATCAAAATTGAACCTTAAAACTTTTTAGAATTTTCATCTACAGAAAAATCATTATGATCACAATGGGGTTTGGAATACAAGTCATCAATACAGACAATACTGCAACCCAACAACAGAAGAAAAGAAAGACATCTAGGGGTCAACATATAGTCTTCAACAATAGATAAAGCTTTCTATGATATATTGATACATCAGTTAAATTTGATCATTATAAAGATCAGGTGAATAGTCTGTCATTACTTGATTTTCAATTCAATTCCTTTTTCATTTATAGCAGATAATTAAGTACTAAATATAAGTCGAGTGTAGTTGTTAAAAATAGATATATAACTGTGTTTCAGTATTTCAGCAGAGACTATGTCCAATCTTCTGACTAAAATGTGTTTGAGATCTGAAGTATTACAAGGAGGAAAGATCAAAGTAGAGATCCCACCAACCAGACATGATATCCTTTCTCAACATCCAATCAAAACACAAACATAGACACACACATAAAGTAGAGATCCCACCAACCAGACATGAAATCCTTTCTCAACATCCAATCAAAAAAGACAAACATAGACACACACATAAAGTAGAGATCCCACCAACCAGACATGATATCCTTTCTCAACACCCAATCAAAACACAAACATAGACACACACATAAAGTAGAGATCCCACCAACCAGACATGCTATCCTTTCTCAACATCCAATCAAAACACAAACATACAAACACACATAAAGTAGAGATCCCACCAACCAGACATGATATCCTTTCTCAACATCCAATCAAAACACAAACATAGACACACACATAAAGTAGAGATCCCACCAACCAGACATGAAATCCTTTCTCAACATCCAATCAAAAAAGACAAACATAGACACACACATAAAGTAGAGATCCCACCAACCAGACATGATATCCTTTCTCAACACCCAATCAAAACACAAACATAGACACACACATAAAGTAGAGATCCCACCAACCAGACATGATATCCTATCTCAACATCCAATCAAAACACAAACATAGACACTCACATAAAGTAGAGATCCCACCAACCAGACATGATATCCTTTCTCAACATCCAATCAAAACACAAACATAGACACACACATAAAGTAGAGATCCCACCAACCAGACATGATATCCTTTCTCAACACCCAATCAAAACACAAACATAGACACACACATAAAGTAGAGATCCCACCAACCAGACATGCTATCCTTTCTCAACACTCAATCAAAACACAAACATAGACACACACATAAAGTAGAGATCCCACCAACCAGACATGCTATCCTTTCTCAACATCCAATCAAAACACAAACATAGACACACACATAAAGTAGAGATCCCACCAACCAGACATGATATCCTTTCTCAACATCCAATCAAAACACAAACATAGACACACACATAAAGTAGAGATCCCACCAACCAGACATGATATCCTTTCTCAACATCCAATCAAAACACAAACATAGACACACACATAAAGTAGAGATCCCACCAACCAGACATGATATCCTTTCTCAACATCCAATCAAAACACAAACATAGACACACACATAAAGTAGAGATCCCACAAACCAGACATGATATCCTTTCTCAACATCCAATCAAAACACAAACATAGACACACACATAAAGTAGAGATCCCACCAACCAGACATGATATCCTTTCTCAACATCCAATCAAAACACAAACATAGACACACACATAAAGTAGAGATCCCACCAACCAGACAAGATATCCTTTCTCAACACCCAATCAAAACACAAACATAGACACACACATAAAGTAGAGATCCCACCAACCAGACATGATATCCTTTCTCAACATCCAATCAAAACACAAACATAGACACACACATAAAGTAGATCTAACCAACCAGACATGATATCCTTTCTCAACACCCAATCAAAACACAAACATAGACACACACATAAAGTAGAGATCCCACCAACCAGACATGCTATCCTTTCTCAACATCCAATCAAAACACAAACATACAAACACACATAAAGTAGAGATCCCACCAACCAGACATGATATCCTTTCTCAACATCCAATCAAAACACAAACATAGACACACACATAAAGTAGAGATCCCACCAACCAGACATGATATCCTTTCTCAACATCCAATCAAAACACAAACATAGACACACACATAAAGTAGAGATCCCACCAACCAGACATGATATCCTTTCTCAACATCCAATCAAAACACAAACATAGACACACACATAAAGTAGATCTAACCAACCAGACATGATATCCTTTCTCAACACCCAATCAAAACACAAACAAAGACACACACAAAAAGAAGAGATCCCACCAACCAGACATGCTATCCTTTCTCAACATCCAATCAAAACACAAATAAAGACACACGCATAAAGTAGAGATCCCACCAACCAGACATGCTATCCTTTCTCAACACCCAATCAAAACACAAACATAGACACACACAAAAAGTAGAGATCCCACCAACCAGACATGCTATCCTTTCTCAACATCCAATCAAAACACAAATATAGACACACACATAAAGTAGAGATCTAACCAACCAGACATGATATCCTTTCTCAACACCCAATCAAAACACAAACATAGACACACACATAAAGTAGAGATCCCACCAACCAGACATGATATCCTTTCTCAACATCCAATCAAAACACAAACATAGACACACACATAAAGTAGAGATCCCACCAACCAGACAAGATATCCTTTCTCAACACCCAATCAAAACACAAACATAGACACACACATAAAGTAGAGATCCCACCAACCAGACATGATATCCTTTCTCAACATCCAATCAAAACACAAACATACAAACACACACATTAACACATTGAACATTAAAGTCATAGTAGATGCTAAAACTAAAGATAGAGATTCCATTTACCACACTTTATGAGACATGACATCCTTGTAAACAGACCCCTTAAGTCCTAGCTTAAACACTGTCATATGTACTGTCATATATTCATGAAACTTTATAGATGTATATTGTAAGATCTTAAAACTGAAGATAGGGGCCTCGGTGGCCGAGTGGTCTAAGTAGTTACTACTGTAATCACTAGCCAGTCAACACTGAGGTTGTGAATTCAAACCCTGCTAGTGCCACTGCACTCGACTCCAAACTTGATTGACTAGGATTGTCAGTTTTCCTATCGAAGTTTGGTGGTTTTCTCCGGGCACTCCGGCTTCCTCCACCAATAAAAACTGGCCGCCACGAAATAGCCCAAAAGCGGTGCCTAAAAGTTGGGTTAAAACACAGAAAATCAATCAATAAAACTGAAGATGTACATACTCATAGCCTAAGGGTATTATGGTCTATTGATGAATTCATAAGTAATGCCTCTCTGCACTTTTAAAAATTTCTTTGAGGAAATGACTCCTCCTTCATGCTTCATCAGATGCTCATGAATCTTCCCCTAAATACATTATATACATTATACTATTGGCTAACTCGAAGAAGCAGTTGTCCAATTTAAAGGAAAAAAATATCTATCCCGGATTCAAACAATCAATTTACAATGTTTTAAAAGTTATATTGATAGTTCAACACCATAAACTTTAAGAAAAAAAATATTATAGTTCTAATTATTGACCTTAACAAGTGGAACATGTGATTCACCCATGTGATGTGATAGAAGATGTTGCTATAGCTTATGGATACAACAAAATTGTAAAGAAAATACCAGCTACAAGTACTATTGCTGATCAGGTAACGTCCTAAATATTGACTCTAATGATGTACATATCTACCAGTTATAAGAGTTCAGAACTGTCAATCATTATACTTATATTTTTTTTAATGTGATTACATTTTCCTAACAGTTTATTCTTCATGATTTGCTCCTGACCCATGTGGATTTCATGGTATAAATGAACCACAGTTTTAAATAATCAACAAAGTATAAATTTTCTCTAGGCCTGTATGCAAACGTTTTCAAACTACTTAAATAAAATTTTTCATCTGTCCACTAAAATTGGTACCCACTAAAAAGATTGTTCCTTGTTTAAATAATATATGTTTATTTCCAATAACATAACATAAAAAAAGCAACCAACAATCAATCAATCAATCAATCATAACATAAAAGGAACAAAACAGCTAAGCAGAAAGATGCACATTGAAACATTGAACTTGCAAGGATATGTATCAGGTATATTTGTCATACAGCATAAAGCTCATGTATTAAATTAACTTGGAATTAGCAACTATATATACAATGTTCATTAGAAAACATTATCAGAATTAAACACAATGCTAAAATAATTCAATGCTTGTATTTCAGTTTCCTGTAAACAAACTGACAGATCTCCTTAGACAGGAAGTAGCTTGTGCAGGATTTACTGAAGTATTAACTTTTGCCCTGGTAAGTTTGGATAAAAAAACTACGATGGGTTTCTACTGAGGTATTTACTTTTGTCTTGGTAAGTTTGTATGAAAAAGCTATGATGGGTTTCTACTGAAGTTTTAGCTTTTGCCCTGGTAAGTTTGGATAAAACTATGATGGGTTTCTACTGAAGTTTCAGCTTTTGCCCTGGTAAGTTTGGATAAAATAGTTATAATGGGTTTCTACTGAAGTTTCAGCTTTTGCCCTGGTAAGTTTAGATAAAACTATGATGGGTTTCTACTGAAGTATTAGCTTTTGCCCTGGTTAGTTTTAATTAAAAAGCTATAAATGGTATATTCGAAGTATAATAATAGCTTTTGTCCTGGTATGTATGTTTGAATAAGCTATGATATGACACATTAGGTCTGAGTTATGTTCATATTTTAAAATATGCTCAATTTAACACATTCACAAAATTTGACATCTCTAGCCTGTCAACACTGAGGTTGTGTAGTACCCTGCTCATGGTAGGTTTGACATCTCTAGCCTGTCAACAATGAGGTTGTGAGTTGTGTAATACCCTGCTCATGGTAGGTTTGACATCTCTAGCCTGTCAACACTGAGGTTGTGAGTTGTGTAATACCCTGCTCATGGTAGGTTTGACATCTCTAGCCTGTCAACAATGAGGTTGTGAGTTGTGTAATACCCTGCTCATGGTAGGTTTGACATCTCTAGCCTGTCAACAATGAGATTGTGAGTTGTGTAATACCCTGCTCATGGTAGGTTTGACATCTCTAGCCTGTCAACAATGAGGTTGTGAGTTGTGTAATACCCTGCTCATGGTAGGTTTGACATCTCTAGCCTGTCAACACTGAGGTTGTGAGTTGTGTAATACCCTGCTCATGGTAGGTTTGACATCTCTAGCCTGTCAACACTGAGGTTGTGAGTTGTGAAGTACCCTGCTCATGATAGGTATGTTAAGACTTCTATCTAAGATTGCCAATTTTCCTGCCTAAGGACGGTAAATCTCTCTGGGTACTCTGGCTTTTTGACCAATAAGCTACAAAGATATAGCAAAGAATGCTGAAACTGGTGTTAAACACCAAAAATCAATCAATCAATCCATATGATGTGTGTTAAAGAAGATGTACATTGATTTAGAAAACATTACAAATCTTTTATGAAGCTTTTTACTGTGGTTTAACTGATCTTATTTCTATTTTTACAGTGCTCCAGAGATGATGTTGCATCTAAAATGAGGAAGAACATTAAAGATTCAAATGCAGTACATATAGCTAATCCTAAAACACTAGAATTTCAGGTAATAAGGATCACCTTGACCTACGTTTTATGATTGACTGACCTTGTATGACCCAAAGGTCAAGGCAGACATACATTAATATTAAATTGCTACAACAAACCCAGGGATGCAAGTTTTAAAGTAGGGATATCTTTGTGGGCTTTATTTGTGAAACAGTTTGACTTTATGTTTGTGGTACAATAGAACATTTATGTCAGCAATCAGATAACTTCTGTATGTGATTGCAGTCGGGATATTTTTTATATACAATACAAAACAAGCTGTTTATAATGTTTGAAATACCATAGAACATTTATGTCAATTTTTAAGATAGATTCTCTTCATCCTCCAGTACAAATTCTTTGCACCTTCTTTATCAGGTGTTTTGTATACCATTATCTATTTACTTTGTTTTCTTGATATAATTTGTAGTTCTATGACCCTGACCCTCCCTTCCTCCCTACCTCCAACTCGGAGGCTTTATGTAAGTAAAACAATTTCAAGAAGTTTCAATCAGGCTGTATGGTGACCTATAGATACTAACTTCTATGTCATTTAATTTCTGGTAGAAAGTGGTCTCATTGGCAATCATACCACATATTCTTTTTTTTTCTCCATTACAGATAGGAAGAACCACATTACTTCCCGGTGTTCTGAAGACTATATGTAACAACAAGAATATGCCACTACCACTGAAACTCTTCGAGATTTCTGATGTTATGTTCTGTGATAAAACTAAAGGTAAATCTTCTTCTGCAAATGTTTGAAAAATTATAAAAGAAACAGCATTTAGATTATCTCATACTTTAATTATGTAGATCCAATTTGTAGTATTTGGACATAATTCTATTAAGGAAGGCACTTCAATAAGTGCATGTACTGCAATATAAAAAATGTTGTTTTTTTTCCTCTATTGAAATGTAATTTCAAGATTTCATAATTGTTAAAAAATTAAGTATACAGTCTAAAACAAACTTTAAAAGAAAAGTGTTCAAAACTTATAAAATGATGTATATTATTTAACTGACTTATACTTAACTTACTCCACATGTGGAGCAGGATCTGCTTACCCTTCTGGAGCACCCGAGATCACCTCCTGTTTTTGATAGGGTTCAGGTTACTCAGTCTTTAGTTTTCTATGTTTATATGTTGTGTTTTAAATACTGTTCTTTGTCTTTTGGTCGATTTTCATTTTTTGCCATGGCATTGGCAGTTTGCCATCAACATTATGAATTTGAATATCCCTTTGTTATCTTCCTCCTGTCTTTTTATACAAACCCTTTTAAGAGAAATAATGAAAAATCAGTCAATTATTCAGTCAATAACAGTTATCTTTATGTTTACAGATGTTGGAGCAAGAAATGAAAGACGTTTATGTGCAGTAAACTATAACAAATCTTCAGGGTTTGAAGTCATGAAAGGTCTCCTAGACAGAGTGATGCAGCTGTTGGAAGTCCCTATTGTCCAATCAGAACAAGGCTATTATATAAAGTCATGTAAAGGTTAGTCGTCATTGTCCTATCAGAACAAGGCAATTATATAAAGTCATGTAAAGGTTAGTCGTCATTGTCCTATCAGAACAAGGCTATTGTATAAAGTCATGTAAAGGTTAGTCATCATTGTCCTATCAGAACAAGGCTATTATATAAAGTCATGTAAAGGTTAGTCATCATTGTCCTATCAGAACAAGGCTATTATATAAAGTCATGTAAAGGTTAGTCATCATTGTCCAATCAGAACAAGGCTATTATATAAAGCCATGTAAAGGTTAGTCATCATTGTCCTATCAGAACAAGGCTATTATATAAAGTCATGTAAAGGTTATTCATCATTGTCCTATCAGAACAAGGCTATTATATAAAGTCATGTAAAGGTTAGTCATCATTGTCCTATCAGAACAAGGCTATTGTATAAAGTCATGTAAAGGTTAGTCATCATTGTCCTATCAGAACAAGGCTATTATATAAAGTCATGTAAAGGTTAGTCATCATTGTCCTATCAGAACTAGGCTATTATATAAAGTCATGTAAAGGTTAGTCGTCATTGTCCTATCAGAACTAGGCTATTATATAAAATCATAAAGATTAGTCGTCATTGTCCTATCAGAACAAGGCTATTGTATAAAGTCATGTAAGGTTAGTCATCATTGTCCAATCAGAACAAGGCTATCATATAAATTCATGTAAAGGTTAGTCCTCATTGTCCTATCAGAACAAGGCTATCATATAAAGTCATGTAAAGGTTAGTCTCCATTGTCCAGCAGAAATAATAATATTTAAGGTCTAAAATTAGAACAGAAATAAAACAAGAGGCTGTCAGATTGATGGCAAACTGGATTTTCCTGCATGAAAATGATATTTGCAAATCTGGACCCCCAAACAAGATCAAGTAAAAAAATTAATGAATTTTTGTAGGGTTCAGAAATGGAAAGGCCAAAATCAATCTTAAGTATCACTTTTTGCTACTTAAAGGTCAACAATTCAACAACAATAAAAGCTAAAATTGTGAAAATCGAACTTGACCTTCATTTAGTCACAGGAAACAACATATCTTAATGTGTAAAGATTTCTTCAAAGCGTTTTCAAGTTATTGCACAGACAACGCTCCAAGTATCATTTTTCGCTAAAGGTGTACAACTCAACAACGATCAAATCTTTGGAAACCTGGTTATAAAGGACTAAACAGATCTTAACCAATCAAAATAATCAAAATCAGAAATGACATGAACAGGTCAACGGAACAATCTACAAAAGTAAATGAAGAATCTGTACAGCACTGAATGAAGATATGTTGTGAAAAAGTTAACACCAGTACTTACTCTACAATGCACATAGTACTGGAAGAAGTATTACAGATTTAAGGCTTTATTTTGAAACATTCTTTCAATCAGTATATTGGAATCATAGTTCTTATACTTTTGATGAATTTGAAAGAAAGAAAAATTGTTATTTCAAGCTAAGTTGAATAAACATTCATTTCATTTTCCCCATCGATAAAGACTACTGAAGTTAATAACAGGAACAAAGTTCTTATTCTTTTACAGAATCAGTTATACTGTTTTTTTGTTTTTGTTATTTTCAGATGCAACATACTTTGAAGGGCGATGTGCCGAGATAATATTTAACAATTCTGTGATTGGTAAAATTGGAGTTCTTCATCCTGATGTTCTAAAGGAATTTGAATTAACCAACCCCTGTTCATGTATGGAGTTTTCTATAGAACCATTCCTGTGAAGTGTCATGAACAGCCATTAACTGATTTAATGAGAATATTTTTGTTTCAAATGTTATTAGAGCTTCATTTTGAAAAAAAAAACTATCTTAGAAAGTGTCACAAACATTCTTCGTCAGCAAAATTAGTATACATAATATCTTTTCTATAGACGTTTCTTTATTTTCATTTATGTCAACTTTTTAATGACATGTATTAATATGTTGCACTCAAATGATTTGAAGCAGATCTGTATAAAATCACATACGTTGTATTCAGAAACTAATGCCTAAAAAGGTGTCAAGTTGAATATCAAAATATAAGTTTGCTCCAATCATAATTATTGCTAGCAATATTTCATAACTGGAAGCATTGTATTAATTAATTTTACATTATTGTTAGCTGCTGAAGAATCAGCATAACAAAGGCATGCACTAATTCTAGAATTACAGTATATAATGAGAGAGGGAGAACTGACTGTTACAGTATAAGGGTTAAATAAATTCTTCAATAAAAGTCTAACTTAGTACCAGAGGAGACACTAGTACTGCCACTATATATAGTTCCAGAGGAGACATGAATTTTTGACTATATTTATTGTATAGAAAGCACATGTTTAATTTATATTCAGCACGAATGCTCAGAACAGAAATTTTAAATCTAATATTGCTTCTTTAGAATGAACACTAGAATTAGACTACCTAATAAAAAAAAGCTATAGCATAAAAAAGTTCAAATATTTTACAGAAAGCTGTTTGCTTATTTATTCAACACTTACTGGTATACACCATATCTCATTTATTTATATGTTAATGACAAATTTATTGACAGTTAACTTCAATATATCAATAATATTGTAGGGAAAAGTTGGAAAATATTTGACCATAGGAATATGTGTTCCTTGGACATATTTTTTGTTAACTAACATCAATGTCATAACGTCAATGATTTGTACCAAACATTTTTCAAATAAACTTTTATGTATGTGTATATTATTGTTTACTGTTGCCAAAAATTTTAGAGCCTGAAAATGAATTAATAGAAAGATTCCAGATTGTTGACAAAATGCTGATGCCAACCCAGGATTTTGAAAAAGAGGGGTGGCCGCAGTGTACAGTTCTTACCAGATTTTTATGAAACTTATATCATAGGTTTATATCAGCAATTTCTTGGACGAGTTCCAAAATCAGTGCCGATCAATTATTTTTAAAAGAGTTATGCCCCTTGGAAACATTAATTATATGGAAAATTGCATTGTTAGCGCTCTCATGTGTACAATTATTGCCAGATTTTTATGAAATTTATATCATGGGTTTAAATCAGCAATGTCTTGGACGACTTCAAAAATTAGTGCCGATCAATTATTTTTAAAAGAGTTATGCCCTTTGGAAATATTGATTATATGGAAAATTGCATCATTAGCACTCTCATGTGTACAATTCTTACCAGAATTTTATGAAACTTATATCATAGGTATATATCATCAATGTACTTGAAGAGTTCAAAAATCAGTGCCGATCAATTATTATACGGCCGCAAAAAAATTTCGTACATTGGTTTTCGCACTCTAACTTTAGTTTAAGTGAATGGATCTTTTTGAAATTTTACCATAAGGTTAAATACCACAAAAGAAAGGTTGGGATTGATTTTGGGGGTTATGGTACCAACAGTTAAGGAATTAGGGGCCAAAAAGGGGCCAAAAATAAGCATTTTCTAGTTTCCAGACAATAACTGTGGAACGGTGTATGGATCTCTCTGAAATTATACTACAAGTTTCCATACCACAAAGGGATGGTTAGGATTTGCTTTGGGGGGTTATGGCTCAAACCGTTTAGGAATTAGGGGCGAAAAAGGGGGAAAAACAAGGTTGTCCTGGTTAATGGACAAATACTTTAGTACAAAACATAATTTAAAGCAGTGTAAGGGAGATAAATCAAATACATCATTGAAATTATCTCCCTTACACTGCTTTTAAATTATGTATAAAGTAATGGTTAATGAACAATAAAGATAATTTAAAACAGTGTAAGGGAGGTAATCCAAATACAACGTTTTGGTTAGTTCCCTTACACTGCTTTTAAATTATGTTTAAAGAAATGCATATTTATAAAGGAAGACCAGTAAAAATATCTGCAAATGTTGCATCATTTTTTTTTACAAAAAAATCCATATGAAAGATTTGACACTATGTTTTTAATTCTATTATAAAATAGATTAAGTTAGCACTATGGTAAATTTAAATGGGTAATTATGGTTGCCAACTCCATTGGAAATTTGAATTGAGATTATGACCATATCTTGATGGAAAGAATTTTTTTGGGGAGAAAAGGGGGGGTGGGGATAAAAAGAAATTGTGGGGGGTCAATTTTTTCTCATTTCAGATTTCAGAAATTAAAAAGAATTATTCTTCAAATATTATTTTTTTTTCAAATTTCAAATATTGAAAAATTTCAAGAAGTAATCTTTAATTGCACAGTATGGCGCATTAGATTTGTAAAATCTTTGATCACATTTATTTATTTGTTATGCCGAATCTAACAGTGTAATTAGATTTTTAATTTTGGGTCGTTTTCAAAATGGTCTACATTAAGGTCCAAAGGGTCCAATATTAAACTTTGTTTGATTTTAGCAAAAATTGAATATATGAGGTTCTTTGATATGCTGAATCTAAACATGTATTTAGATTTTTGATTTTTGGCCCAGTTTTCAAGTTGGTCCAAATTGGGGTCCAAAATTAAACTTTGTTTGATTTCAACAAAAATTGAATATATGGGGTTCTTTGATATGCTGAATCTAACCATGTATTTAGATTTTTAATTTGTGGACCCCGTTATCAAATTGGTTCATATTGAGGTCAAAAGGGTCCAAAATTAAACTTTGTTTGATTTCATCAAAAATTGAATTATTGGGGTTCTTTGATATGCCAAATCTAACCGTGTTTTTAGATGTTTAATTTGGGTCCCGTTTTTTAAATTGGTCTTCATTGAGGTCCAAAGGGTCCAAAATTAAACTTAGTTTGATTTTAACAAAAATTGAATTCTTGGGGTTCTTTGATATGCTGAATCTAAACATGTGTTTAGATTTTTGATTATGGGCCCAGTTTTCAAGTTGGTCCAAGATAGGGTCCAGTATTTAAACTTTGTTTGATTTCAACAAAAATTGAATATATGGGGTTCTTTGATATGCTGAATCTAAACATGTATATAGATTTTTTATTATGGGCCCAGTTTTCAAGTTGGTCCAAATTGGGGTCCAAAATTAAACTTTGTTTGATTTCAACAAAAATTGAAAATATGAGGTTCTTTGATATGCTGAATCTAACCATGTATTTAGATTTTTTATTTGTAGGCCCCGCTATCAAATTGGTTCATATTGAGGTCGAAAGGGTCCAAAATTAAACTTTGTTTGATTTCATCAAAAATTGAATTATTGGGGTTCTTTGATATGCCAAATCTAACCGTGTTTTTAGATGTTTAATTTGGGTCCCGTTTTTTAAATTGGTCTTCATTGAGGTCCAAAGGGTCCAAAATTAAACTTAGTTTGATTTTAACAAAAATTGAATTCTTGGGGTTCTTTGATATGCTGAATCTAAACATGTGTTTAGATTTTTGATTATGGGCCCAGTTTTCAAGTTGGTCCAAGTTGGGGTCCAAAATTAAACTTTTTTTGATTTCAACAAAAATTGAATATATGGGGTTCTTTGATATGCTGAATCTAACCATGAATTTAGATTTTTTATTTGTGGGCCCGCTATCAAATTGGTTCATATTGAGGTCAAAAGGGTCCAAAATTAAACTTTGTTTGATTTCATCAAAAATTGAATTATTGGGGTTCTTTGATATTCCAAATCTAACTGTGTATTTAGATTTTTAATTTTAAGTCCCGTTTTTTAAATTGGTCTACATTAAGGTCCAAAGGGTCCAAAATTAAACTTAGTTTGATTTTAGCAAAAATTGAATTCTTGGGGTTCTTTGATATGTTCAATCTAAACATGTGTTTAGATTTTTGATTATGGGCCCAGTTTTCAAGTTTGCCCAAGTTGGGGTCCAAAATTAAACTTTGTTTGATTTTAACAAAAATTGAATATATGGGGTTCTTTGATATGCTGAATTTAACCATGTATTTTTGTCGAGCCTGTGACTTTTGTCGCAGAAAGCTCGACATAGGGATAGTGATCCGGCGGCGGCGGCGGCGGCGTTAGCTAACTTCTTAAAAGCTTTATATTTTAGAAGGTGGAAGGTCTGGATGCTTTATACTTTGTATATGGATGCCTCATGTTACGAAGTTTCCGTCAGTCACATGTCCAATGTCCTTGACCTCATTTTCATGGTTCAGTGACTACTTGAAAAAAAAGTTCAGATTTTTTGTAATGTTAGATTCTCTCTTATTATAAGTAATAGGATAACTATATTTGGTATGTGCGTACCTTGCAAGGTCCTCATGCCCGTCAGACAGTTTTCACTTGACCTCGACCTCATTTCATGGATCAGTGAACAAGGTTAAGTTTTGGTGGTCAAGTCCATATCTCAGATACTATAAGCAATAGGTCTAGTATATTCGGTGTATGGAAGGACTGTAAGGTGTACATGTCCAACTGGCAGGTGTCATCTGACCTTGACCTCATTTTCATGGTTCAGTGGTTATAGTTAAGTTTTTGTGTTTTGGTCTGTTTTTCTTATACTGTATGCCATAGGTCTACTATATTTGGTGTATGGAATGATTGTAAGGTGTACATGTCTAGCGGGCAGGTGTCATTTGACCTTGACCTCATTTTCATGGTTCAGTGGTCAAAGTTAATTTTTTGAGTTTTGGTCTTTTTTTCTAATACTATGTGCAATAGTTCAACTATATTTGGTATGTGCGTACCTTGCAAGGTCCTCATGCCCGTCAGACAGTTTTCACTTGACCTCGACCTCATTTCATGGATCAATGAACAAGGTTAAGTTTTGGTGGTCAAGTCCATATCTCAGATACTATAAGCAATAGGTCTAGTATATTTGGTGTATGGAAGGACTGTAAGGTGTACATGTCCAACTGGCAGGTGTCATCTGACCTTGACCTCATTTTCATGGTTCAGTGGTTATAGTTAAGTTTTTGTGTTTTGATCTGTTTTTCTTATACTATATGCAATAGTTCAACTATATTTGGTGTATGGAAATATTTTATGATCTATTTGGCAGTCACGCAGGTTTTATTTGACCTTGACCTCATTTTCAAGGTTCATTGCTCAGTGTTAAGTTTTTGTGTTTTGGTCTGTTTTTCTTAAACTATAAGCAATAGGTCAACTCTATTTGTTGTATGGAAGAATTGTTAGCTGTACATGCCTGCCTAGCATGGTTCATCTGACCTTGACCTCATTTTCATGGTTCATTGGTCAATGTTTAGTTTACTTGGTTAATGTTAAGTTTATGTGACAGTTGTAATAAAGCTTTATATTTAGGACTATCAACATAATATCAATGATTAGTAAAGAAGGCGAGACATTTCAGCGTGTGCACTCTTGTGATTTTGGACATTGGACCATAATAGGTAAATTAAAAAAATTCAAGTTCTTAGACCACATTCTTTCTGTGTCAGAAACCTATGCTGTGTCAAATATTTAATAACAATCCAAATTTAGAGCTGTATCAAGCTTGAATGTTGTGTCCATACTTGCCCCAACTGTTCAGGGTCGACCTCTGCGGTTGTATCAAGCTGCGCCCCAGCGAAGCATTTTATTTTTAAAAGAGTTATGCCCTTGGAAATATTGATTATATGGAAAATTGCATTGTTAGCACTCTCATGTGTACAATTCTTGCCGGAATTTTATGAAACTTATATCATAGGTTGATATCAGCAATATCTATGACAATTTCGAAAATAAGTGCTGATCAAATATTTTAACTAGTTATGCCCTTGGAAAAATTATTTATAACAGAAATCACGTTGCATTTGGTCAGGAGCCTTCATTTCTCTAAGATATTTATAAATTGTTTTAAAGAACAAAAAAA